GTGCAAGAAGGCGACTAACGGCCTCGGAGACGTTCCTGATGTACGGGATCGCTCGCCAGAATTTGGGGTCGGCGCGATTTTGTCGCTCGTCTCGTTTGCGCAGGCACCGGTTGACGAAGTTGCGCGGGTAACCATTTTCTCGGAAAACCCGTCGAAGATATTGGGATTCGGCAACCTTGTCTTCCGGTTCACTGCAGTGCGTCTCAATACGCCGAAATAGCGTTCTTAAGCAACTGCGTTTGTGGCAGATTGGGTGGCTACTGTTGAAGTTCAGAATTTGCGTCGTGTTCGTTGCTTTTCTGAACACTTTGGTCTTTAGGCCACCACAATCTTTGCGGCAGACGAGGACATCAAGGAATGCCAGCTGGTTATTTTCTTCCTCCTCCATCGTAAATTGTATGTCCGGGAAGACGCTGTTGAGGCGTTCTTTGAACGTTTGTACCTGGCCCCGTTCGATGACGACGAAGTTATCGTCCACAAACCGAGCCCAGAATTTCGGTCTGTGGTGTTGGAAGACCAGCGACTCCAACCGCTGTAGGACCGCCTCGGCGATGAATCCCGAAATCGGCGAGCCCATTGGTGTTCCCTTCACTTGCTCGTAGATTGTTCCGTCAAACGTGAAGTACGTCCTGAGACAGAACTTTAGGAGCTGAAGGACTTGGGCATGTCCGAGACGATTCTCCGTTTCATCGTATTTGTTTCGTAGAAGTAGCTGGACGGTCTCGATTGCCAGATCCTGGGGGATAGAAGTAAAGAGGGACGTGACATCAAAAGATACCATGACCTCATTTGGCAAGATCAACTAGTTCCTGGAACCCGCATCTTCGCTTGTATCGACAATGCGGACAGTTATGCACAGCAGAATATCTGAATTACAGGTAACCATAATGTTAACACTTTGGGCCTCAGATTAAAGCACAAAGGCCACTACCCAGCGTTGGTTTAGTGGTTTCGAAGGTAAGCGAAAGGCCGTATACAGACAAATTGCTGTCAAACATGTAAGCATGTTACGCCCCATGGGATCAGCAGTTTTAAATGTAAATCGTTTCGTACCAACCGCTGCGCTTTGTTAAAATACTTGCACCTAACCAGACGCATTCGATGCATACAGGACGTCACACATAGGTGTAGAATGGACGTAGTCTTCTAATTTTAGTCAAAAAACACGCCATGGGATAGTACTGAGATGGAAATTATCCAAAATTAGCAGGAGTTAACAAAAACTCAAATTAATGTTTGACCGGGCTTCTAAGCAAAAGATCAGACTTTCAGCGGAAATAACCGGATATGTTCCTAGTGAGAAGAAGACCGCTCAAATGTTGGAAAATAAAGTCAGTTTGAATAGTGTCATGAAGTCCTGCCTTAACCCCCCATCAGAGTACAAAAGGGGCAGAGTTCTACATGAATTATGCGTTCATATACTATGATTTCTTTGGAGCCACATGACTATATGTAAGCATACGCCGCTTTAGTCATCCACTAGTGAACATCAGTATTAAATGACAGCTGCTCCTTTGGGGTGTGCGGCACTCGAAGTATTCAACCCCACCTGTATCTGTTTTATGTTGCGTATATCAGAAATACTCTCCATATGGACATTATGCTCCAGAAAAATTCCAAAAATAGTATGTAAATATTAGGTGTAAGGTAAACGACGGATAATATTTCAAACTATGAGAAAATTCATGAAAGGTGCAAAGTAAGCACCAAAGGTACATTCTGATCCCCTTTGGGAACGTGCTTTTATTTGTATTAACTCCAAACACCAATGGTACAGGACGGGAAATTTATGAGGAAAGTTTTTGCAGGCGGTATTTGTGCAAGCCAGTGAAACAATGTTCACACGAAGTTCAGCATTTAACCGTCACGTATTACCCTACAGCTGTATGCTTTGTTCATATTTGTTATAAGCTGATTTGCAAAAACCCCTTCAACTGGAAGTACAATCACGCACTACAATAAATGTTTAATTCGCTGCTGCGCTCTCTGCAGTCATCTTCAAGGAAAATTAACTGCCATCTAAAAAGCGCCCAGTGACGCGCATCAAGGACCTTTTATCTCTAGTAATAAGTTTTCAGCTATAATTTTTTTCCTTTATCTGTCTACATATTTGGATAATATTTACCGTGGGCCTTATGAATACTGGTGATTAATCCCCCTGAACAGCATTACGGTACAACCTTTCAGGCAGGCGTACATTAATACGTAATCTGATCTCATTTTGCCTCTCTGTTTTTTCTCGAATTGGTCTGAAGGAAGGTAGTAACGTGTGTTGGTATTTCAAACAATGTAGGCATACGTAGAAACGATTATAACTTTCTGACACAAAAGACTAGTTTGTACGAATATAAAAAGCCGCCTAATCTGCTAGTGAATGCCGAGTTTTATTGATCAGTTTGATGGTATTGATGGAGATTGGATGCATTAATGGTTAACTGATCATTTTGATAAGGCATTTCATTTCATATTCTGCGGTTCGTAGTGTTAACTTGATTGAGTATTACGAAAGTAAACGGGCATTCTGACATCTTTAAAACACAACGGTACATGCGCAGTGAGACACTGGGGCGTCACATCGAATAACATTGGGGTTATATATCCAGACTGTCTTGAATGCTATATTTCAATGCCATGCAAAAAGGTGGCGTTTTATTTCTAGCGGCCCTCTCTCGAGTCATGACAGGTAAAGGATTCATCCCTGTAAAAAAAACTGCTCCTTTTCACACCTTCAACGAAAGCGTCCTTTTTATGCAAATGTACCCAACCCGGTTATGTTTTCTCGAAACGTTATTCAACATAAACTTCGCGTCCTACGTTGAAAATTGTGAAACGGGCCAGCATTAGTCACGACGTATACAGAAACCGAAGTATCCGGCGGTACTGATGACAGTGGAGCAACGTTGCATGCATGGTTTCCAAAAGTACCTACGCTCTAAAAGAAAATGTAAATCGAGGCAAATACTTGTGGCTCCAGGAAAATCTTAGTCGGGATCTCGTTAATGTGCCTGCTGCGCTTTATGTAGAAGCCAGTCAGAAAGGCTCCCTCTGTGGATTAAGAACTTGAGCATGTTTATTGTTTCTGTTACTTCTTTTAGTGGGATATCACTTCCAGGCTCTTCATTTCACAGTCTGTCTCCAGTTCAATGCATGAAAACGTATGTATTTGATATGTGCGTCGCGAAATGAACTCGTTATTGTAGTATTTTTAAGTGACTCTCATTATTCCGGGACCTCAGGACATCATATACTGCAGTTGTTCCTGTCGAATCCATTAAGTCGTTTTCTTAGTAGGACCATTTTGCCTATCGTTTTGTAGTTCATAGTTCTTTCCGCTGGTGTTTTTCACCGTGCCTTTCACGCCTTAAAAAGATGATTGAGAGCACAACAGTGGGTGAATCCTTCAGAAAACTGTAATTTAACTTTAATGCACATTTTATGCAGGCATTATCCGTTAGCACTCCATTTCTATACGGCAGAAAATACGTTTATTTTTGTTTTACTTATGCATTATAACTTGCCAAAAGTCGTTCGCATAATATTTCAAAAATGTTAAAATCAACACGACCACGCGAAACATACAAAGGTTCCTTTATCGACTGCCCAAATCACGAGTTACATGATTGCGCAGCTTTTAGAAAGAAGGAGAAACCCCACGCACATGCTGAAGTTTTTGTTTTTTGGGCCTTGTAGCCAGCCACCGAGTCCGTTATCTGGCTGCGAGACATACATGCAACATATGAGGGCTATTTTGTGATTGTCTGACGCGATGTCTTGCAGAATTCCATACCCATAGTCCGACCTTGTCTACTTCACGATCACGCCATGTCATGAATACACAAAATTAATAGTAGTACGAAGATAAAGTGGTTTCGTAGTTCGTGCGCTCCTGCCATTTGCCAGAAGCGGGTAAGCTGCGCAGCATATTCATCACTAAGCTCTTGTGCTGAAAATGATGCTTGGACAATTTACACAAACGATAAATTAACTGGTGGAAGTCGCTTATTCCTCAGTTGAAATACCTCAGTTTCACAGGTTTTGCCAATTTGTGCTAGGCAATAAATTAGGATTACATGAGTCTGTTGACTTATACACGTTGCCAATGAATTTCTTAAACTATATAATGAAATTGTTTCTTTAATTGATATTACTTAATATGGTTTTGAAATTCTTAACTAAACTTTTAATCACGACATTATTATAAAATTAAATTCTAGGAATGTAAGTGATGTAAGTGATTATAAACCATAAGTACAATAACCGAATATTCAGGGTTCATATTGTGAATTTGCAGCACTGGAATACAAAGGCCTAGTTTTTTTCAAACCAGGTAGTTCCTCATTCGGGGAGAGAATAATGCAAAATGTCTATAAGATACTGGAACAGCTGATTTTATAATTCGTCAGCTACCTCACTTTGCTTTGAACAATACAATGTGAGTGGGTCACTTTGTTCATAGTGATCTATGTAAGCACGTATATGCCTGACGACCGGCAAACAAAATCTTATAGATTTGAAAAGCGTCCTGTTTTGCTAAGCAACCTTCTCC